AATGGAAAGAGAATGTATGAAAATGTTAAGATAATTTTTTTAAAGGACCATGATTTTTTTTTGTCAACCAAGAAGTAAAACACAGATTTCAGTATCAATAAACAGTTCTTTCAAAGAGTGCCTCTTGATTGGCTTTCTAAACCTCCCGTCATTCATCATTTGACCATGTTTGTTCCTACTTGCAAAAGAGCTCACAAAAATCATTTTCACTGCAATCAGTATCGTCAACATGAGGGGATGTTAAAATGCAATAACACATGTTGTCTGTGAAGTCTTTAACATGCAAACTCCTGAATGTTAAGAGTCTTGCTTCTTTTGTAGAATTAAGCCCAGTCTGATCAAGATATTGTACATCCTTGTTCACTTCCTCATCCCATTTCACTACAGAAATCCTGCATAATAAACACTGTCCATTTTGAACCTGAAAGCTTGAGTAAAAAAACTGAACCACGATATCTTAAAGTTTAGTGTTTCCAACTGCAGCTGTCTCCTAATTATTTTGCTTATCTGGTCTTTAAAATTTCCAGGGTTGAATACCTGTCTACTTCTTAGGACTTAATACTTCTCCATGGTATCGACGGGAGAGTCCAGGATGGGTTATACTAGCCTGCTAGCTTGTTGACTGAATTGAAAATCTGAAGACATGCCTCCTTGGCAATGGTCCCCAGTCTTTCAATTCAGTCTCAGCTCGCAGTACTGGTTTTCTTGAGCTCTCAGCTCACGTTTTGAAGGATTGTTGGCTTGTGATATAAATTGGTTTGACATCAATAGAAGAGAACGACAGTACATCGTGTTGTGAATTAGTCCTGTAGGCGCCATTGCGGGGCTCTTTAGCCCTAGATTTAGCGCTTCCTGTGTTCGCCCCTTTGAGCTACGATCTTTTGCCTCAGGGACTCTTAAAGGACATTGAGGTTGTCCTTAATTGCGCAGGAAAGATCACGTTTATTAAAAGCATAGCAAGATCTTTTTGTGTGCTGTGCGTCTGCAATTGGAGGATTAGCAGCAGATTTCTGCGAATTGTAGTTTGCTTTTTGTGTTGATTATTCTACAACTTGACACTAATGGTTGCGTTTTCGAGGCTGGCAACGCCGTTTGGTCGTGTGGCTTGGACATTTTAAAATAGCAAAAGAAGGGCGCTAAACCTATGGGTAGTCCTCAACGTATGATTGCAATGTATGTTAAGTGAAAAAGTTGTTTCTAATATATTTCCCATATATTAGAAAAGCCAAAAAATATGTGAAAAGCTAGGCAATCTGAAAAATTACATTCAGAAATTTGAGTTCACAGGCAGTCTCAGAAGCTAGTTTGAATTGCTGGATCAATCTCTGATTAGAATAATTTATTAATATTGGACTTAATTTGACAAGATTCAAAACTAGTAACCTGTGCATGTACAAAAGGACTTTTTCAACTTAAATTTTTAAATCCATTTATAAGTCCCAAATGGATTAATTTTCTAAATCACTTTAAAAGTCTGAATCACTTTTTGGGTGGCTTAGATAACCTGGTATTTACAACACTGTAGTTCTGGTTGAAATCTTAGACCAGGGGTGTCAAACTCACAACCTGTGGGCTGGATGCCCCATGTGCTGGCCATGCCCACCTCCATTTTAGCAAAAGGGAAGTTGCAATATGTCACGTGACAACTACATGACAGTGCAAGTTTGACACGCCTGTCTCAGACCATTAATAAAAAAAAAGTTCTTAATGAAAGACTTGGTTACAGTTTGACTACTGTGAATTATAAATAGAGAGCCAGTTTAGTGAAGTGGTTAAGGTATGCCACTAAAAACCAGGAGACTGAGTTCTAGCCCTACCTTAGGCACACAAAGCCAGCTGGATGACCTTGGGCCAGTTTCTCTCTATGAGCTGTTTTTAATTATTTTATTTCCAGTTATTTCCAATGTCACCCCTCCCCCCCAAAAAACAAAGATGAGACCTCAAAAAAGTGCATAAAAACACACATTGTTTCCCCAGTTATTTGCCCAACTAATTTGAGCTCTATTTACTGTTTTAAAAAATCAGTTAACAGGTAAAATCAACAACAAAACTAAACTTCAAAACTCTTGTTAACATTCTAGTATTGTATTTTACATGTAGAAAGTCCTCTACGGCTTCTAATCTACCATAGACCACTGCTATCATTATCTTTAATCTGTCCAGGATCAAATTTGATTGATTCTTGAAAATATATGAAGCTTTTCCTTAAAATTCTAACTGGAATCTTTCCCAATAATTGCATCTCATTCCCCAAAGTCATAGTTCTCTACTGTATCTCTGTAGCACTTGTTCAGAGATATTTTTGTGCAGGTTTGAACTACAACATCTCTTCAACAGTTGTCTTGTGAGGGAATGTAATATGTCTATCCCATAATATCTTTATTTTCTTTTAAAAGATCAGTTTATTGCTGATCCAAACTGCCAACTTAAATTTGTGACCCTTTTGGCCTTCTCCAATGAATCTGTAATTCTCCAACAAAGCTATTACAATTCTGTCAACAACAAATTGACTTCCAATTCATCCAATTGCAAGTCTGATTTAACGGTAATTACCTCTCTGAGTATTGTGCTTGTACGTTTCAAGAAGGCTTTGAAATTAAGTTGTTCTGGCTCTCTCATTTCTTTTATATCTCTTTTTGTGGGCATTGCAAAGAATATATAATGCATAATGTTAATATTTAATATACTGTTATTTTCATTTAAAATATAATCCAGATTTCTTTTATAGCCAGATTTCACAAAAAAATGTAGGCAATTCCTCTCAAAGATAAAAGAAGTAGATCTTCTGTAACAAAAATGTCCACAGGAAAAAATTAAGATAATATTCCTCACAGGGAATATTCTATTTATTCCCAGAGAATAAATAGAAATGAAAGAGGTTTCCCCTCTCTTTAGAGAAAAAAAGAGAAACCAGACATATATACAAAATAAAGTAGCAAAGTTTTTTTAATTGAAAAAATGCAAAACTCTCGTCCAGTGCAGATATAAATCAAATCAGATCACTTTCACTACCAAGGAGGGAATAACTTCCAAAATCTTGCCAAAAAACTTGCAGGATTAGTTCAGTCATGAGGAGGTAACAATGATTTGATGGTATGTGCACACTCGTAAATTAGAAGTACCCTCACTGTTTTGTGAAGTATTTTGTTAGTAGCAACCATTGAGGAGAAAATTCAGTAAAATGAATAGATACCTATTTTATCACTTACTTGTTACGCTGCTATAAAAAGATATGATTTTTTTATCTAGAATGTATCTTTAAACTGCCTTTATTCATTTTCAGGCCATTTCTTTATCTGCATAATTGCATTTCAATGAAGCATTCAAGATCCTATTTGAATAATAGAAGCCTTATTGTTAGCATTAACCACTTCTTTGATAGTTTAAGAGGTTTTGAAATGTAGATTTGTTAAAGCTAGGCACCAATTCTTAGCCTTGAATTGCAGCCACAGCTGTTTATCAGTCATACCTCTTTGACAAGCTTGCACATATTTCTCAGTATGGAAAAAAGGGGAAGAAAAAACATCAATTAATATTTCACCACCTTCCCATCATTACTTGTCAGTCTAGTTCATGCTGACATCACTTCTGCAGGGCCGGGCTTCTTCATATGTATAGTTAGCTGCATTCCTTGTTTTATTTTCAGTAATTGTTAACATTTTTAATTAGCCAGATTAGACTTTTTAGATGTCTCCAATTATTTATCATTGGAAATTATGACTGTGCAGTTTATATCTTCAGGAATTTCCAGCTACGGTATCTTGAGCTTTTCCTAGTATATCTAACCATAGAACGTTAATTAACACCTCTCTGGTTTTATTAATATCAACTTAACTGAATTTTGGAGTACATTTGTGTTCCTTAAACATCTGCATTTTGTTATTCTCATCATGGTTAGCTTTTCATAGATTGAATTCCAGTGTGTCATTGCCTCCCAGGTTCCTGTACAAAGTTTATTAGTGAATTTTGCTATGTGGGCTGAGATCAGATTAATTCCCCCATTCCAAATCTGCATTCTGAAAGACAATGTTTTCAGCAATGCATTTGGGGAATTAGTTTCCATGACTGTGGGGTTTGTGTTCCTTAAACATCTGCATTTTGTTATTCTCATCATACTTCCTATCATTACCACTGCACTTTCCCATTTTACTTCATCAACATCTAGTGTAATGAGTTACTTAAACTGGTAATGAAATCAGAACAGAAGACAATATTCCAGAGATGTCAGCAGGAACAGGAGCAGTGCATATAAAAACATCTCACAAGGCCTGATGATTTTAAAATATTCAGCCATGAGGTAAGACTTTGCTATTGAACAAGTCAATATAAAACCTGTTCAATATTTTTATATATTGTAGTCAAATAGACAAATGTGGCCTGTTGGCTGCCAGCAGAGCTAGCAGCAAAGTCATGTGTTTGTGTGTGTGTGTGTGTGTGTGTGTGTGTGTTTAAATAAACACAAAACAAGACACAACAAACACCATAAAAACATCTTCCATTACAAATTGTAAAAAGTGTGTCAATTGGTTACAAAGAACTTTCGTGCATCCCTTCCACCATCATCACCTATGATTCATATCAAGTTATATATTTTACATCAGATATATTTACATATATATTACTATCATAATACCTCATCCTTCATATGACTATAGTTGTTTTAACGTCCCTTTATAACAAATATTCCAAAGTTTAAAACAAAACAACATAATGGCATTTCATTATCTATTTTCAATATCATCCAACAACATATCTTTATAACACATTCAAAATAAAAATTGTTTGATAACAAAAATTTTGCACCTCTTTTCTTAATCACTCTTTACAATTTATATCCAATTTCCCTTTTATCATGTTGCTACAAATATTACATTATTAACATCAGTCATTTATTTAACAATAGTTTGACTAAATTTATCTTACTTTTTCCCCTTTTTTCACCATTTAAAATTTATACCAAATTTCCTCTTATCAAACCAATACATATGTATACATTGTTATCATTATCAATTATTTATCTAACTTTATCCATTATCACTTCATTTTTAACATAATGCTCTTAATTTTAGCTAACTTTAACTAGTGTTTTGTTATTGGTTTTCATATCTCAACCAGTGTCTTTCCAGTAATAGTGTAGTCCTATTTCTTTTGCCATTTGTGGAATTAGTCTTCTGGTTATTTCCTTAATCAAATTTGTGTGGACTTCTCTTTGCAACTTGTTGCTTGTTACATATCTTGTAAAATCTCGAGACCCTCCATCAGCTTCTTTAATCAGCTTATCTTTGGTTAACAGTAGTGCTTTTGTGAAAGTTTCTCTCCTTAAATCAATCAATTCTTCTCTTTTTTCTTCTTCTATATCTTGAGATCTGGAGTAGAGTGCCTTTCCATCTATCTTCCCTTTCCATGTTCCACTCTTTCCATCTCCAACCACACCCAGTTCACTGTCAATATCCACAATTATCTTGAAAGCCAGGGCCTTCTGTTCTCCTGCAGTTAGAGAGGCAGTTGTATTCTGGAGCTGAGTGAGGAGAATGAACAGGTGGGCCCATCCCAGATGCATGTATGCGAGGGGAGGATAGCAATGGAAAGCAATAAGCTGGCTCTCAGGGAAAAGAAGACCTAGATGCTAGACAGCCCCTCTGGTTGGAAAATAAATAGTAGAAGTTTGGGAGTGGCAGGTTGTCACAGACAACCATTCATTTCCAACGTACATCAATCATGTCGGATTCCTTTGCCAGAACCAGGTTTGTTGGGACTAATTGTTCTATATTTGAAGTGCCAATGGAATCTCTCTGCTGAGAAATAATAGGGAGTGAATTTGCCTCAGCCAATGTGAACAAAACTGTTCCTGCCCTGACTTAAATAAAAAGAGGTTTGTGTTACTTGTGAGTAAGCAGTTTCTCATTTCTTGTGAAGGCTGGGTCAGAACATAATATATGAATTCATGCACAGGCTCTAATAACAGATTCTAATTCTAGTCATAGCTAATCTGGCTGCTGTATTAAATTATTGCTCAATGACTTGAAAATAACTCAAGTTTTTCTTAAAATATTGTGGCCATAATGAGTAATGTTCGCTTGAAACACAGGCAGAAATCTTAATGAAAGGGAATAAGGTTAATAGAAATATCTGAGGTTGTTACACTTTCACAAAATATGAAGCTATCATTCCAATAATTTCTGCCTGCCTGAATAATTCAAAATTATCTGAAGGAAGCAAAAACAAGCAGTATGTCACAGTTGCTGCATTTTTAAAAAAATCTTTATTTCAGCGCTGATAATTACAAGCTTCTTTTCCCCACTCCCAAGTTTCAGTGGTAGGTTCATTTGCTACACAGTTTGGTGGCATATATTTTGTTTTTGATGTTTTCAGATAACAAATATTACCTCTGTTCCCTCTTACCAAGGTAGCAGTCATTACTTGACTGGTTTAATGAGTAAACACTGGGCAAAAAAGTAGCATTAGAACCAGTTATAAACTGTTCATTTTGGTATCTATGAGATGATTAATCTTCCCTATGCCTTCTTCAGTGCAAATACAAACTTTTTAAGCCTAGTGTATGTTTTTTTAATTATAATACTGTATGGCAAAATATATGTTGGAACACAAGTAGCAACTACAGATACCTAAACTATAAACCACTGGAAATGCAGGCATTTAGGTGTTGCTTGAAAAGAGCATATCTCATACTCATTACACAATGTCATGTGGTAAATATCTTAACAAGATCATTAATCTTTATTCTTGCCTTTGCAAAAGAAAACTGAATTAAATTTAAAAATAGGACCGGAGGAGAATGCAATCAAAGCCTACATTGTAACTAAAGTTACCTGTGGCCATCTGTCTTTGAAAACTACAGAACTTAAGTTAGTCTGTTTCATTGACTGCAACATGAGTGTCTTTAAATACATCAGTACTAACAGTTCCTCTGTGACACAATATTATTTCCCCATTAAAGAAGCTTTTCTGTGATTATTTTTCTCCCACTTTGGAAAGCAGGTGTTATCCTTTCTGAATAGTAGAATACAAAGATATATTTATTTAAGGAGATCCTGGAAGTAACATAAGCAGTTACCGAAATTGTTTTAACAAACATTAACTAAATGTTTGTTAACAAACAAAACGTATTATGGGAGGTCAATTGTTGCGGATAGCCAAGATAAAAAAACAAAAGCATTTAGATTTCTTCCCCATTTCGGAAAAGCAAACAGAAAAAGCATAATCTTTTTCTAAGTTCTTTAAGAACCTCAGCATGCTTGAGAAGTGCTTTAATGTAAGAATTAAAGATGAATGAAAATGCTGATTATGCACATGTATTTAATCACATTGAACTTTTCTGGAGCTCTGTTTGCATGATATATCTTTTTTTAAAGAACTGTGCATATGAAACAATTCCAAGTCTTGAGAAATGAGAGGATTTCTTTGTCAATGCCTTTCTGCCTGTAATTGCAGGATCAAACTATTTAGTACTACTCAGATATTGAAAAGTTTGAGTCAAAACCAAGAATAATTTGCCTGATTTAATGAGCAGAAGCTAAGCCTTTTTTCCTTTACAAGTCTAAAAGATGAGGTTTCATTCACTTGTGACAGATCCTCCAACTAGTTTCCTCATGAGTTTTGGGACTATAGTTCCCATCACTCCAAGCTACCATCAATTTGCCATAAGTTCCCACTTTAGAGAACAGGATACTATATAATACAATATGAGAAAGAATTTCAGGAGTTAGGAGAGTTCTTGCCTTTTGTTGTTTTAAAAAGAAATTAAAAAGAAACCTGAAGCAGCACACTTGGTTAGCCATTATGCTAATGCTATGGGATGGGTTCATCCATCCTGCTAAACTTTGGCTTCTTTTAAATTTTAACCATGGCTTGTAGAATAAACTATGGTGGTCTGGTTCATAAAATGCCATAATGGTTTAATTAACATAAATTTAAGACAAAACAAAAACCAAAATATAGTACTTTAGCTTTAACTTAGCCAGCATGCTTTGAAATTTCATGGCTGCCAAAGCTGTCATCTAATCACCTCTAAATTCAATGCATACTGCCAAGAGACAGATTCAACTCATTTTACACAAGTTCATATCCGAAGCTGTACTATAAAGTGTTGAGAGAGATTGAAACAGTTCTATTTCCCAATCTTTTGCACATCTCTTTGGATTCATAGCCCCTTGAATATTTGTCATGTCTCTCCTTCATATGTGGGATACAAGCTTTATTAAGTCTATTAAGTGTATTTTTAAGAATCAGCATTCAGCCTTTATAATAGTACATAACAAGGAAAAACAAGATAAGTTGAAAGAAGGTTAGAGAAGAAATACGAGAGATTACAAGACACGAGCTGCCAAGCAGGAGAAGAGAAATTAGATACTCCCTATTAACTATTGGTAGGGAAAGACAGATAATCAAATGTGCATTGTGAAAGTCATTCAAAACTCTGGGTGGCTTCAACATTTTTTTTATAATAATAGGGATAAAATAGTATTCTTTACCCTGCATTTTCTCATCTTTCTAAAAATAGTTTGTGCTTATTTCCTTGCCATTAGACTGGTGTTTCCAACCCTAGCCATTTTAAGATGTGGGGATTTGAGTCCCAGAATGTTCTAGCCAGCATTCTCAGCTGATGTATTCTGGGAGCTGAAGTCCACACAACTTAAAATATTAAAGTTGGAAGTTAAATCTTCCTGGTTACATCTTTTGTCTATAAAATTCTAGTGGCATTACAATTTATAATTATAGATGTACATGGCCACATCAAGAATAATCTAGGTTCTCATGGGTTACTTGCTCCTGGATAAGGATACCATATGCTTTCACGGGACACATCTTTTGAAAACTTATTAAAGGGTTATCAAAGTAAGCACCTCACTGTTATGCTCTGCTAACCTTCCTATTATGCCATTAAACCAGGGCTAATAACATGAAATGGTTGACTATAATTAAAATTCTGGCAGGGATCCAGGAATGTATGTTCCTGTTTTCTGCTTTAAATTAAAGTGCCTTTTTACAGCTCCGCATCTTTTAATTGCAGAGCAGAAAGTCAGAATATTGGTTGGGAATAGAGTTACAATAATCCCAATGTATCTAGGGAATAGGGGGACATTGATTTTAAGTGATACCTTTTATGCTGAAGAGCTGTCTCTATCTTACAGGTTAACATGCATTTGAACTCCTTCAGGAGATGACAGTATTTGGGAGCAGGACTGATAGGCTTGAGTAAGAAAAACAACAGGTAAAGGAATATTCATTTTCTGAAGTTTTTTTCTTCACATTTTCCATCTGCACAAAACAATTCTATTTTTTAAAAAAATGTAAAATGTATTATTAGCCCTTGATCAGCACATACGATTTAGCTAATATAGCTGGATATGCTGTACCCTCACATATCATGTGACTTTAAAAAAAAGAGGAAGAATTGACCATCAATGCAAACAAAAACTGAATACATTGAATAAAAGCCATCCTTTCAAAGAGGAAGTTTAAAAATGCCCATGCCTTAGAACTGAGCACTAATCTCGAAGAGAAGTTACAGCAAGTTAGATTTACAATCATAGATGCACCTGGCCAATCAAGAATAATTTAAACCACTGATTTCATTCAGGGGTGAAGGAGTACCAGTAGAGCAAAGTTGGGCTCTTATACAATACTAATAATTATTATAGTTCTAGCAATGGGATTGCAAGAAACTTTGTTCAACAGCATAGGGATCTCTGCTATGGAAAAATTGAAGCAATAAAAAAAAATCCGTACAAAGTTAGAGGCAGGTAGAAAGAGATTCTTGAGTTCCAGTACTCCTGTATATAGCTATGGATTCCTTCCAGATAATGCAGAAATGCCTCTGGGATCACACACACATGTCTTGTTTTAAGACTGTTTTCAAGGCTGGATTCTTTTACGGTAGAGATAAGCATTGCTCACTTGGTTCATGATAACCAAACTGGTGAGAATAGGGCACAGCACCATTAGATACCAGGAGATTCCAGTCACAGTTGTGGAAAACCACAGGGAACACATGCCCAGCATCAAGCTGGCACAACCAAGAAGATACCCAATCAGCCCTGATGTGGCATGGTACAGTTTCAGTTTGGTAAGGGTCCAGTTCTTCATCAGTTTGGGATAGAGCAGGGCGAGCCCACCCATGCACTGCAGGCTAGCATATACCACTGTCAGCAAGCCAGTCTGGCCGTGCCAGGTGACAAAGTGCTCTTTCCCATTGAGGTACTTGTTATAGCTGATAATGGTCAATCCCAGCAATGCACAGATGAGAGCAAGCAGCTGTAAAGCCCAATGGAAGCGGACCTTGGCCTTGCGGGAGAAGGACCGGAGGAGGGAGCTCTCTGGAGAGAAAGTCAGCAGGGCCTCTGTCATCAGGAAGGAAAACTGGGAGAAGGGAAGAAGGGGGAAAAAAACATAAGGGTATATAAAGGTTAGCTGAATTTTTTAAAAAATTTTTTATTATTTATTTTATTTATTCATTTATTAGACTTATATACCGCTTCATAGGGCTTTCAGCCCTCTCTAAGCGGTTTACAGATTTTTAGCAAATTGAGTCAGCAAATTGCCCCCACAATCTGGGTCCTCATTTCACCCACCTCGGAAGGATGGAAGGCTGAGTCAACCTTGAGCCGGTGAGATTTGAACTGCTGAACTGCAGATAACAGTCAGCAGAAGTGGCCTGCAGTACTGCACCCTAACCACTGTGCCACCTCGGCTTTTAGCAATACTTCATGCAAAAATTTGGGAAACGGTCAGATATTTAGTAAGACAGTAATTTGTCAATGGGGGAGGCTCTATTCAAGAAGACACAGTACGTAACTTTTAAATGAAATTCTGCAAAAGTAAAAATACAGATATACAGAGACAATATATAGAGGGATTCATTCTTGAAACAGGGCAGCAGAAGTGTTATGCTATTTTCCCCAACTTCCATTAGTAAAGAATACACACCTGTCCCCTATTATGTGCAACCAAGTATTCTGCCTTTTTGCATGAAGAGACAGCAAATTGAACAACTTGTTATAAAAGAGAAGGTTGTACAACTTACAGTCAGTCACCTAGCAGCTGTTCAGAGTTACATTAGACCCCCCAAAGATTACTTATGACCTAGTCCTGAAGTTACAGCTGCTGCAGTGACCCTGCAGTCATTCATCCTTATGAACAACACAGTGATACTGTACTGCCCTCCTGCCTGTTTTCCTATTTCCACACATACACTGGGTCTCCAGAGGCCTTTGATCTGCTTCCCATCCTCCTCCTTACTTAACTTTCTAAAAACTCCAGAGCTTGAGTTAAGGAAGCACAGTTTTGTTGTTGAGGCACATTTTCCAAGAGGCCATATTAAATTGCCATTCATAAAATGGCAGACACTTCCAGGATTGTGCCACATGGGATTGTTCATAAAATGGTAGCCGCTTTTGGGGTCGTGCCACACAGCCCAGCAATGAAGCAGTTTGTTCTGTTTCCTAAAATGGTCTGTGCAGTGCTATGGAAAATGCCAGCGCTTTCTACAGCACTGCGCAGTTCATGTTAGGGAACCATAATGGATTGTTCTGTTACTGGGCCACAGCTGCCATTGCAGTGCAGCTACAAGGAACAGTGTTGCTAGGCAACATAGCCCAGCAGCAAACAATCCATATTGTAGCTGCGCTAAAATGGCAGCTGCATCTATGATGCAGCCACACATCCCAGGAACGCTGAGGGGTGATGTGGCATGCTCTCCTTCCCCAATGTGAGGTACAGAGCTCTGGAGAGCTTCAAAAGCTATGTCAGTGATGGGGAATGGGCAAAAAGTCAAAGCCCTGTGGGGAATCAGTGCAGGGAGGTAGAATCAGGCCCCAGGGCTGTGGGGACCCCAAGAGGTGGGAAGCAGAGCATGGAGTGTTTTAGGAGGCCTTAGGAAGCCCAGGGCAGGTGGGCATGAGCCAGGACTTCCAGGACTTTCCCCCCCCATTGACACACTGTGTTCCGCTTAACGATCCACATAGTCATTTTAACAACTGCAGAGGGTGGAGGTCATTAAGTGAGGCGCTCTCTCGATTGTAATGGGCAGGGTATATTGTGGTCATTGGTCAAGGATTACCTGCCTAGTTAGTTATTTTAGGGAAAAAAATCTAGAAAACATAATCTCGTTTGTTTGGCTTACCGCAAGAGACATTAAGAAAGGATGCCAGGAGAACAAACCTGGAAAGGAATGAGAGCAAAATCAATCTTTGCTGGTTAATCATGGCTGAAAAGATAAAGTATGCTCCTTACATTCAATTCATTCGTTGGAGTCTTAAGACACCCTGGTGTAAGATAATCCGACCCAAGGTTTCTATCGGTTCCACCACAAAACCGCGGTAGACTAAAGCGCGCTCGACGAAAGCGTGTACGTGACGTCATCACAGCGCGACGAAAACAGCACGCTGTGAGCGGTAAACTTAAAATTAAAGGGTAAATCTAAACCTAACCCCCCCAAACCTAACCCTAAACCTAACCCTAACCCTTAACCTAACCCTAACCCTAACCCTTACCTTTATGTGAATCGGCTTGCTTTTTAAAGCGCCCTTTTTACTTGCTTTTTAAAGCGCCCTTTTTTTTCCGCGGTCGTATTTGTCGTGCTGCTGATGACGTCAGGTACGCGCTTTAATCGGGCGCGCTTTAGTGGACCGCGGTTTTGACGGGTGACGGTTTCTATCATAGCTGTGCCTATGCTGATAATGCATTTGGGAGTCCTTGGAGCCATCAAAGGTAGAGCCACCAAAATCTGGAAGCTAGTTAGGGACAATTTTCATCCTGTTTTCAGACTGGGTACTTTTAAGGATAGAAATAGAAGCACAAGGATTTCATTCACATTCCTAAATTCTCCCAAATTAAGCAAAACAGGGTCAACAAGTAATTATTGCCCTTGTATCCTTGTATCACTAATAAGATTTCTGCAGCTAAGAGGTTAAAGTGTAGCCCAGGACAGAAGAACTGACATGTCCGCAAATACTGAAGTACAGTATTAATATGTTGACTGAAAAACTACAAGTAGAACAATACTAAATATGCCAGTGTTGGAAGCCCATTATTTGTGAAATAAGTAATTTTGAGGTTCTTTTCAAATATGAATCTAATAATCTCTTGAGGTTGAGGAAGAAATAAAACATGTCCATGGAGAATTTTTTTAAAAAAAGAAAAGAGATTATTATGAAGTAAATTTTTAAGTGCTAATTCATGAAACTTTATACTACATAATATTTATAATAAGGTAACACAACATACATTCTCAGAATTAAACGTTAATCAGTTTGGTCTAGTGGTTAAGAAACCACTAGAAACCTAGTGGTTCATGAGTTCCATAGCCCTGCCTTATCCATGAGAGCCAGCTGGGTGACCTTAAGCCAATCAGTCTCACAGCCCAATTCACTTCAGAGTGGTGGTTGCAGGGAAAATAGGAGAAGGAAAGTGTGTTGGATATGTTCACTGAATTGAGTTACTTATAAAAAATAATAAAGACAGGATAGAAATAAAATAAACATATTGATTTATAATTTTGTGTTCTGTGATCCTGCAAAATGATGTATATTCTCAAAATTCTTTATTCAACATGCAAAATGGAGCTTAATTCATATTAAGCCTTTGCATTGAAGGCTCTTATTTCACTGTCGTCTTCCTTTCACTAAAAGAAATTGATTACCTTTTTTTTTGCAGAAGATACAGAACTATAACTAGATGAAGAAGGCACTGCAATGAATGGGATGAAGTATGTAGTCAGTAAAACAAAAGCAAAGGCTATACACACTGACCAAATTCAGCAAGGCGATGCAATATGGATGCAATCCAGTCATAATCACAGATTATTATACATTAAGCATCCTTATGGTTAGAAATTGGAAGGCCGTGACTACTAGTCCCACGTTAGGTATAAAGCCAGCTGTGTGACGTTGGACCAGTCACTCACACTCTCTCTTTTCCCTAGGACGACAATGGCAGGCCACTTCTACATACTTTTACCTTGCCAAGCAAATGCAGACTTGTCCAGACAGTCATCAGGATTAAACAATGACTCAAAGGCATGCACACAAATATAACTTTTTTTCTCTGAGAACTCAAGGTAGCATTTATGAATGGGGTCTTTCCCAACACTATCACAGCTATGATCCTATAAGATAAGTGGGGCTGAAGGCATGATTGGCCAAAATTTATCAAGAGAACTTCATAACTGAGTGGATTTGAATCTAACTGGCTCAAGTACATCTTACCTCCCCACTTCACTAATTCTTTTAATTATATACGTATAGCAGTACAGTTGAAGTTGGAAAATCCAGAGTAGAGTGTTGGTCAAAATGAGTGACTAGAATTGCCAAGATCCAAGTCTAACTCAACCAGGAAGGTTACTGACTGACTTTCAGCCTGCCTTCCTCTTCCCCACCCCCCTATGTCCAGCCTTGCCCTCTAACTAAAGTCATCATCCAGCAGGACGATCTGTACTGTACAATATATCATAAGGATTCCTGTCTATACTACCCTCCCGGCCTTCCGTAAAGCTACTAAGTCCTGGCTGTTCCGGCAGGCTGGAGGCTGTTAAAGCACCCAGCCCCGTCTTAATTGTGACTTGTGGATTTTAAAATTGTTGTATTGTCTTATTTATTCCCTCCCCTGTTTATTGTGAGCCGCCCGGAGTCCTATGGGAGTGGGCGGCATACAAAACCAATAAACCAAACCAACCAAACCATGTTTCAAGTACTATTGGGGAAATAACACCACATGGTTCTCCCTTTGTTCTTTACTTACTTGATCCAGGTCTGGTGAGTACCACCATAACAATGGTGAATCCAAGAGAAACCAGGTGTGCGGTTGCACCAAAGACAGTCCTGAGAGAGTGGTAAATCCGAGATTCCGTTTCAGCTGTCAGAGCCATGTCTTCTGGAATCTGAATAAGACGTTGGCCTTCCACTGTCCACTAATTATTGATCTTCTGTGTTTACATGCAAGACCTTTGATATTCCAGAATATCAAAGTGAGGGAAAATTCAAGCACTACTGTCTTTAAACAAAAAAAATCTGCTTCAGGTTTCTCATGCTTCTGTCAATTATCCTGTGTGAGTAAATGTAAAGAGATAATATTAAGAAAAGAAGGAGCAAAGTAAAAGCATCTGGAAACCCAATAATCATCTTTAGTCCTCAAGTATAATCAAACAAAATCCTAGGCTATCAAAGCAGTCTTCATTTCCAACAAGAATGCCATCAAAACCTGGGATTCTGCCAGAAAGGAAACTAAATTTTAGATATTTTTAGGTTTTTAATGTAATGTAATATCTGTGGAAATACATCTCAATCATAAGCTATGAGTATGTTTGAATATGTATCATTAAAGAATACAGCAGGGTTCATGTCCACATCTGTCATGCTGCCCATCTTCAGTCCTCTGCAGCATAGTAAATGGCAAACACTTGAAATTCTGAAAAATAAAATTTCTAGATAAAACTCCTGAAAAATTGTTCAATCAAAAGCACTAATAGAAAACAGCAATGGATTATTTTTAATTTTTATGCACTATACAGCTTGCAAGCAATCTGTTCACCCCATTTTTATTGTTCAGGATTATATAAATATAAACATGAAAATATTTTTTTCCTCTGTTCATATTTACTCTTGCTAACTGATGGTAATTTGTCCAAGGCTACCAAGTGAGCATCATCCTGAGATGACTTCTGACATTTCAAAATCCATCCATTAAATTATTTGCACCTGAAGGAACAGGCAAGCAACTTAAATATATAATCATACATGCATGTGTTTCTTACACATTTTCATAGAGAAAACTCATTGCTAATGAGAATTACAGTTCTATATACCCTGTAACAGCTATTTTGGAATCATAAATTTATAATATGCAAATTCAATTTGCCACAAATTTGCTTTACCTATATGGGGATGCGGTAATAAATGAAAACAACCTGAGAATTAAACTGCAAGCTTTGTAAGAAGCTGAATCTATAGAGATACAACCTTAATTTAATAAAGCCATGGGATTAAAAAGAAATGAGACTGGAACCAAGAAATCTGACTGACCTTAAGGCAGGTTGACCGTACCAATAGGCTTTCCTATCATACCTTGTTCAGGTATGCCTAAATAAATAAAATGTATAACGTGCTAGCTTATTGCCTAGGTTCCTACAAGATGCTGAACCATAAACAACACAACCCTCTTTTAGCCCTAAGCTGTTCTCTGTAATACAGTATTAAGGCAAAGAGACAGACGTCATAGCCTTCCTTTCTTTTATTTCAGTGGCAAGGCAAGTCTCCCTCTTGAGCATTTTGAAAAAGAAGACGGGGACAGCCTGCATTTCGATTCAGCACCGAATAATTTAAAGGGCACAATCGAAAGTGGAGGTGGCTGCTGGAAGAAAGGAAGGAAGGAAACACGAGAAGCTGCGCTATCTAAAGAGAGGCTTAGCTCTCAGGACTCCATCCAAAACGATGATGCACAGTTTCGAGAATCATTTCGGGGAGAGGCAGAGAATGTGCCGATCTTCCGCCTCACCTGATCTGACAGCACCAGGACACAGATTCTCCTCGGATAAATCAGCCGTTCCCTACCTCGGCTTTGCCCACCCTACATCTTGCATTGCAACTGGCATAGGCGATAAGGTCTGTTAGTACAAGAGGTGTGGAGAGATGCCTCAACCAACTAAGGACCACCACACCTAGGGTTTCTTTTTGCCAGAATGATAAGCGTTGAGTTCCCTGGCTGCTGTTCCACAAAAAGCATCCCAAGCCAGTAACCATACGGCACTAAAGCTAAGATCGGAATGGTAGTTACGGACGGAACTACGGAAGCAGAGCCCATCCCCTTCGGCAGATCTGCCCTAATCCGCCCACAAGGCTCACCAGGCTTTGAGAAAAGCATCCCTCTCCCAGCGCCAATCCAACCGTCTTGGCGGAGATTCCAAAGAACTCACCTCCGTCGAGAACAGCAGCATCGCAAAGGAGCATCAACTCCGGTGGAAGCCGAGGAAGTATCTGATGCCTTTTGATTGGGCAAGTCCACCCAGCTTGTCATACGTTCCTCCTACCCTGGCGGCCGGTCTCTTCGTCTGAGAGGCTGAGCCGTGCTGCCTATCACCGGGCAAACCCTCTCCAAGACAGCTAACTGCGCGACACGTGACAAGCATTGTACGTCCGTAACTACCATTCCTATCTTAGCTTTAGTGCCGTATGGTTACCGGCGGGCAAGATCGGGGAGCACGTTTGCGAGCGGAGATCTGCCGGGAGGTTGTTTTCTTTTTTTTTTCTCCTGGGCCACCAAGACGCAGGCGCTGTGAGATCGATTGCTTTTCCCCCCCAGGGTCTTTCGCTCGCCCAGTTGGAGTTAGCCTTGCACATGCGTGCTTTGGCCGTGCTCTTCCGGTAGGTGCAGAGCCTGTGGGCTGGTCTTTGGCTACCTAAGAGAAAGGAGAGCATGTGAAGGTTCCCGATTCCTTCCTTCGTGGGCACGCTATCTGGCGGAGATTTTAGGAGTTTACGTGAACCCCAAGTTTAGGCAGCTTTCTGTTAGTTCAGGGGACCGGGCATTAAATAGGCCTTTCTTGAGCAATACTACCCTGTAACTTCACAGGCAGTTTGATTATTGATGGAAGGCAAGAATATCCTTTGATCTGTAAATTTCTTCCATCAAGTCATTTCCATCAGCTTTTAAAAAGAAAAAAAAACACACACTACCAGAATTGTGGGAATCGGTTATATTTAAAGAAATGCGGACTGGCTTGTAATTTATGAACTAAAGCAGTAATTGTCAAAATTGGCAATTTGAAGAGGCATGGACTTCAACTCCCAAAATTTTAAAGTGGCCAAGTCTGAAAAAAGCCATTGAATAAATTGATGGACTATGGTAGGTAGGTTAATCTCCAAGTACTGTCGTTTACACATTTGTGCATGCATAAATAGGAAGATTAACAGAGAATTCCAATGAAAAATAGGGCATTTGTTTTCAGCCAATTTAGAAGATTGCTAAGTACAATATAAAGCCATTCTCAACGTGATGAATAGAGTGGGTAGACATTACTGTTATCATGGGATAACAGATTTCCTCTTTTGGAAAATATGGGCATCTGGAAATTGAGGGACTGTTTGTAAGTACTCTTTATAGTGTAGTATTTATAGTATTCTTATGCTGTCAATGGGAATCAGAGTGAGAGTGCTAGGGGCTGCCTTCTATGTTGCTCAAAACAACAGTTTCTGAATTGCATTTCACAAAATGCACTGATTACTCCCTCTGGCTCTTTCTGACTAAGGGTGACTCTTAGATCTTGACACTTTGATCAGTGATTCATTTAGTCTTGAATGAACAAGAATAATTCAACAGAGTTCTGGTTTGTACAAGATTGTATATAAATCAGACAACTCACATCCTGATTTATTAGTTACATACACTTGTAAGAGAATGCACTCAGTGTGATAGTTATGCTAATCTTCCAGTGATAAGCTAAAATTATGCCGAATGTAAGCTTACTGCTTAGGTTACATATTCAGTGCAGGAGGTAAGATTACAGAAATATGGGTTAACCTGGTATTCAATGATCACTCTACTTTTGTGGAATTTGTTCCATATAAAAATAGGGCAAGTTCTTCCAACTGCTGCCTGGCCTGTTGAGGCATCACAGATGCTGGCTGTGACTGTCGGTCTGCTCCATTCTTCTTTTTGTGGTAATTGAGACACTGATTTCTGTCACTAAGTGATGTGGTTGTAAAGTGAAATATCGTGTGACTGCATTGCTTAGCAATGGCAATCCTGGCATATTCTACAGCCCTTAAGCAGGCATTGTGGGTCAGTAAGTGAATCGCTCTGTGGTTTGAAGTTGGTTTCCAAGAAACACATGTAATTGTTGCTGTTCCACTGCCTTCCATGTTGTATAGCATCTCCCCTGGCTGAGCTGCTGGATTTCATCACTAAGCTGGTAATTGAGACTCTGAGGCCACTAGTTCTTGGGACATCAATTTAGCAGCTGGTGATGTTCTTTTTCTGTATCTAGATCAGACTTTAGATTGCCAGAATGAAGTCACCTTGGTTTTGTCATCGGGCAAAAATAAATCATTATCAGTGTTATGTTTCTGGCAGTATTCCAACCCTCAACCTGTGCAAGGTCCAACAAATAGTATAAGGGAGATTGGATTCTTCAGCCATAATCTCCTTTCATATTATGCCTTGTTCAGTGGTCTCCTTTCTCCATGTTTCAATACGGATTTGTTCTTGCGTACCCACAATAATGTGTGTTTTTACCATAAAGATTTTCCTAGATGTGAGTCATCAGGCTTGGGGCAAATGTCCATTCAGAGGATGTTGATGATATCAAGCTGGTGCTATTGAGTGAAGCAACTCAGGAGTTTGTGGCCACCATGATAACCATAGACCTGTCCGAAGACATCATGAATATCGTGCATAACAGCTCACACACTAGATTTGGATTTTCTCTTGGGGCAGATGAGATATAATCTGATTCTGGAGAACATTATTATTATTCCATTGTTGTGATCAGATCACTTTGTGAATGATTTTTTTTGCTCACTGGTGCCAACCTACCTGTAGAGATCGACCTGACCGAGATGAATATTGAACCTGTGTGATTAAACTATGTTGCCTTATAGGATTCAGAAGATAGGCAAACTCTGTTGCAGTAACCTGTGCTTTTTGGAACAATATCTCCCCAGAGATTCATGCAACTCCCACGCTTATGACTTTTAGCAAATTATTTAAAACCAGGTTGTTCTTTCAGGCCTTGGGTAGAGTGTTTTGGAGTCCTCTTTAGTTATGTTTGAGTGTTTTGTCCTTCCAGTTGGCCGTGATTTCTTTTTTTTTTCTTTTGTAAGCCACGCTTACATCGGGGGGGGGGTCAGGCCTTGAAATTGGATTAAAAGAAAATAAAGAGTTAATTTTTTCCACGTATGTAGCTGTTCATTCATTTCTATGTATTTCATCTTTTTTCAGTTACAACCATGGAAATCAGCAGCAGAATTGAGTGTATATTTTTCAGCGAATTCCACCCAACACTGGGGCCTAAAATAACGTATCAAGTGAGTTGTGCAAAAGCTACCTGCCTCATTTGTTATTTTCTGCTCTGATTGGCATCAGTTGTCCAAGATTTTAGATTTTCTCTTTATTATTCTTGACTGGAGTTGAAGCCGAGAGCTAGGAAAACATCGTGTTTGTCGTTCATGAGGGCCTTACTTTTGATGGAATGATGGATACATCAAGTGTATCAAAGCTTCTTATTTTGCATCTGCTTGTCTATTTTTATTTCTGATTGCGTATTTTATTTTTGCAGTGGTGTATAAAATGTTTTTTCACCTTTGTTTGAAAAACATGTTGCCATAGCTTAAAAATAGTGTTGCCCTAAAAGTTAAGGTCATTATTTATTGATTTGTTTGTCTATTAATTATTTGCAACTCTGTCTTGTTCCTGCAGGTACCAGAGGATTTTATTTCCCGAGAGTTGTTTGATACAGTGCAAGTATATATCATCACCAAACCCGAGCTCCAAAATAAGCTTATCACAGTGTGAGTATTATGCAGGAGCACTGTAAGAAAAACCTTGCTTGAGGAAGAAATACAATTGCTCAGTGTTTTGAGTGCTGGAAAGTTAATTGTTTTCTCTCTCTTCTCTCCCCTGCTCTACCAAAAACCAGTACAGCTATGGAAAAAAAGCTAATTGGTTGCCCAGTTTGCATTGAACATAAGAAATACACCCGGAATGCCTTGCACTTCAACCTTGGCTTTGTTTGTGATGCAAGAGCTAAGACCTGTGCGCTGGAACCGATTGTGAAGAAATTGGCAGGTTATCTTACTACTCTGGAGGTTAGAAATAGCATAACTATGATATCCTTCATTCCTGCTCTCATATGTGTATAGATTTTTTAAATTATCTTTTATTATACTTCATTTCCACTCACCTCATAAATACAACTCTGGGCAGCTAACAACACATTAAAATCATAAAAAAACCAATATTAATGTGGGGAAAAACTAACAGTGGATGCCAGTAATAAACCCAGACAAAAGTATCATCAAAATCCTCTCAGTGCAGTTTCTATTCTCCCAACTTCCAGACTCTGGAACATATTCCAGGTCTTCAGTGCTTTATAAAATGCCAGTAGGATTAGGACAGTCTAACCTTTGGGATATGATCTTCCAAGCAGACAGCAAGCAGTGTGACAGAAAAGGCAACATAGAAGCATATTTATCTTCACTCTTCATTTTTTTTGTCTTATTGCCAATGGCAAACCTGATATATATATTTTAGGACCTCTAAGTCCTTGAGTGACCCCTGATGAAGTTATGTGATGAATATGAACTGTCACAGCTATCTCTTAGCTGATCACAACAGACATTTCACTTCCAGTCCTTTGCACTCTGAAGACTTTTGCAGGAGATTATATATTCTTATTAAAACTTGTAAAGTATAGCCACTTTGTTTTTCTATACCTGCTACTCTATTTCCTGTAGTGGTGGGTTGCACTTACTGTCACTACTGGTTCAGTGATTGCGTGCATGCGCTTGTTAATCCACTGCACCTGCAACAACCAGCTGATTGTCAGGGTTCGCACAGCGCCGCATGCTATTTGTGCATGCGCAATTTGCCTTTTGCCATAAAAACAGGTATAGAGCCTGGGCAGGCAAGCTAAAAGAGCCACCGTACCGGTTCGCTCTCAGCTGCTCCAGGCCACTACCGGTTCTACTGAACTGGGCCAAGCCGGCAGCAACCCACCTCTGATTTCCTGCAGCAAAGTTGTACTATTCCGGAAGTATTCTTCAAACATTTATGCTGCTTTTCTGGATATTTTGTGTGCTGTAAAAGTCAAACAGTTTTTAGCTTATTTCAAGACCATTCATCTACAAATCGTGATCTCTTATGCCTACCCTTTCATCACTCTCTGTGACTGTAATAATGAAATGCATGATACCCTAAGAGCTTAATTCTATTTTTGAGTTTCCATTTTATTATTGCTATGAAAAATATGCTCAAGTTTATTTGAACGAAGTTGTATTTTCTTTTAGTGGGGCACACAGTCGATCCATGCTACTGCTGCTAGTAATCGTTTGATTGTAATTGATCATCAACTCTACTCTTTCCTAGCTTGAAAGTGGCTTCATTTCCAATGATGAGAGCAAGCAAAAATTGATACCCATCATGACCATTCTACTTGAAGAACTGAATGCTACTGGCAAATGCACTCTGCCTATTGGTATTTTCACAAAGCATACTGTTACAAAATATATTTTGGAACGGAGCATATTAAAATTCAGGCTTGTGATTCTTGGGCAGTAAGACCATGGAGCACATTTAGAAAGAAGGACGCTTATTATTTAGTGCTGCCTTCCCCACATCTATATGTCTCGATTTGAACAGGTAAAGTAGATAAGAATATGATTCTGCTCAACAGCAGGAAGAATTCTGTACCAATGTTCTTGAACATACAGTATACTGTAGTTTCTATTTATTTGTTGGGAGGTAAGGGAGGTGTCATCTCCCAAAGCAGTATTCTCTAGCCTAGTAGCTCCACAGTTCTCAGCCCCTTAGATCAAGGGTCCACAAAGTATGAAAAATTGTTGGATGTTGGTTCTTTGAAGGAAGTTCTTACTATTCTTTACAAATATACTCTGGCTCTTATAAATTGACATGATTAAGGAAAAGACACTAATTTGTCTTTGGGGTTTTGCATAATTTGAATATTCTCTCTAGTACTAAGTGCAACATGCTGTAAGACAATAAGGTGAATAGGCTATACTGTAACACTATCCTATGGTTTGGAGTATCATTCACTTGGGTTATCCGATTACCCACTGGTTTGAAAATTGCTGTACATTCAACATTAAAACTTAATCGTGGTTGTAATGTGAGCACTCCCATTGCATATCCAGTCCAATTATACCCTATAAAGTAGGGTCTGTTATTGTTGTCCGATGTATTTCAATTCCAGCAGGCCTGTTATGATAGTATAATCTTGCATTGAGATAAACATTGCCCCTTTTCATAGATGAATCAAACACCATTCACCTGAAAGTGATTGAGCAACGTCCAGATCCCCCCATTGTACAAGAATATGATGTCCCTGTCTTCACCCAAGATAAAGATGACTTTTTAAATTCTCAGTGGGACCTCACTACTCAACAGGTTAGTGCAAAAACTTAGCCTGAAATAATCCCACCAATGGATTTCATAATAATATCAACATTGGACGGAGAACTTGCCTTCAATTTACACACACACACGAATTAACCTCCTGGGGGATTAAAAATTGAAAACAATTTCTCTCCAAGCAGATTGAATGTGTTCTAATTTATTCAGCGGTCCCCATTGTATTGAAAGGGGTTCTAGCTAAATGTTTTCTTGTTTTGAGATTAAGACTGCAATTTTGTGTTCTTAATCCCTCTGTATTTATTTAATTGCATATTCAATGAGAATATTATTCATCAGAATTGAGTTTTTTTAAGAAGGGTAGCAGGACTCCATGAACTTTATAAATGGCAAAAAAGGTTGCATATCATGGTCACATGTCTACAGGATGCTGCAGCTGGTCTTAAAAGCAAACCAATTTCCAAGCAGCTGAAAGGGATCATGTGACAGCATTGGGATGCAGGAAGGTAATTTCAAGGATGGGTTGTAAGTATATTTTTTGAGATCCATCATAATTGGTCATTAAGGTCTGACACATGTTAAGCAACAACTGTATTTTAGTTATCAATGGCAGGTTAATTGCAACTGAAATTTACTTGAACCTATGCACTTATTTGTGTGCACATGAAAAGAGTTAGAGTGAAGCATGTGGATGTAGATATGAATAAGCATACATTCCTTCCTTAAAACTGTGTATTTGCTAAGATCTTTGTTCAGCAAAAAAGCTTGGATAGGGTCAAAGGGGGAAAATGTCAAAGTGAGGCAAGCAGCACTATGGCAATGCAGTACAACCTTTGCCCATATTTTGTATGCATCATAACATTACACATTCAGGAGGGCTAGGGCTTGTGGCACGATGCTAAAATGCTGCTTTTGTTATTCTGATAAAAGCTGTTAAGAGCCTGCAAATGCACAAAGGAAATGGCTGTACAGGTAACAAATGGTGCCTGATATCAACACATGCAACACCACTACTGCGTGAGCTACATTGGCAACCAGTATGTTTCTGGGTGCAATGCAATTCAAGCTAGTTGTCATCTTTAAAGCCCTACATGGCTTGCGTCTGCGTTACCTGAGGGACCACCTTTTTCCAGGAGTCGTACCTATCTACTCTAGCACGCTGCAGAGCAGCCAAACAATGTTGACTGGTGAAGACTAGAAGTTAGGCGTTTTCTGCAATAACTCCTGCTCTGTGGAATATCCTCTCTTCAGAGATTAGAATGGCTCCAATCTTGTTAGCCTTTCATAAAACTGTAAGCATCAGGCTGTGTTCCTGAGGCTACAGTGCTGAATGTGCTAAGGGCCCGTTTTCCTGGGGTTATTGTTAACTGCCCATGTATCTCAGCAGCTGTATTTATTTTGGGTGTTTTTAGAGGATTTTACTTAGCATTTTAAAATGCTTTTATTGTTTTAATTGTAGTATATTTTTTAATTGTAAGCCTGCCAGAATCATTGATTGAGATGGGTGACTATAGAAACTAAATAAATAAATCATTTAACCACCACGACCACCGCCCAGCTAATGTTCACATCTGTCCATTCTTTCTTATCAATTCTGATCAATTGAAGTGTTGGCAGGAGACCTTTATTTGCCTTTGCCATCCACTTAAGTGTAGTTCACATGCAACAGTCACATTTCATGAGATGGGAAGCTACATATATTTGATAAGCAAACAAATAAACAAAGTGAAAGGGCTTAAGACATGTTTCCACTGAAATCAAATGGTCTTTTATATGGACATTTTCTCATCTTGTTTTGTCTTCCTGGTTTAGCTTATGAGGAAAAAATTGTTTATGTTTATGCATTTTTAACCTTACATTCCTTGCATACATCCTCTCTCATATTAGATCCTGCCATATATTGATGGATTTCGGCATGTTCAGAAAATATCAGCTGAAGCAGATGTGGAACTCAATTTGGTTCGAATCGCTGTCCAAAACCTTTTGTAAGTGCTAGGTGCACAAAAGAAAAAGCTACAGAGAAGGAAAGAGAGTGCTTTACATTACATTATTGTGATGTGATGTAACCTAATGTAACATATAATATTCCAACAACCACTCTTTAACATCCTCTTTACATTAGGTTCTGGTTCTTTTTTGGTGGATACATATTTTTTCTTGTGTATTGGTCTGATACTGTTTTGAACATAGTTTAAAAAAAATCATACATTAAGGCTCTTTTTTTAACCTTAATTCTGCAACTTTAATCATCTTCCTAATAACATTTCCATACTAGACTGTATTTAATTTACCAGCTTTTCTCCACATACTGTAAATTGGGGAAGTGTAAGTGTTATCTAAGATTCATTAGTTACGCAAGAAGCAGAAATGGCCAGAAATCATGGATGGAGATACTTTGAGCAGCTGCAGTTGTTTGCCTGAAATTAATTTTGATAAAGTAGAAACAGGATTTTTCTTTTGGCTTTTTTTTCATATACAGTCTACTTTTTCCCCTTGTTTGTCCTCACTTTCTGTTCTCTTCTCTTTTCAACATCTTAACCCATTCTTGGGGTGTTTTTTTTTTCCTGTTGGAATGAGGTAGGGAAGTATGTTTATTACACATGCAAGTATTTGGAGTATATTATATATTTCTACATGGCAAATATTTGTGTATAAATGAGAATGGTTTGTATCAATGAAAATCATTTAATTTTATTAATAAGAAATATTTTATAAGCAATTAATTTTCAATTAGATGTTATTGCTTTGATTAATATTGAACCAGTTTGGTGGTAGTTAAGATACCAGATTAGAAAGAAGAGACTGAATTCTAATCTCAGCTAAGGAACAAAGACAGCTAGGTAGCCTTTTGGCCAGTCATTTTCTCTCAATCCCCAAAGAAAATAATGGCAACCCACTTCTGAAATCTTGCCAGGAAAACTGCAGGAATTTGTCCAGGCAGTCACCAGGAGTCAACATGGATTGAAAAGCACACAGTTTGATTAAGATCTTCCAAACCAGTCATTTTTTTGAAGATTAACTTCTAGAAAGTATATAAATACATATATGCTCATAAATATAATGTGTATATTATTTTGTTGGATCATGGAAAAGTCTGGTTTCTGCTAGAATTATTCATTTAACTTTTTGATCCAATTTCTGTCTCACCACAATCCATCTCAGCGGTTTTGACAATTCTAGATTAACAGTATTCGAATATGTTTTATTTTCTGTCAACCTATTTGGAAGAGGGGAGGATCATATTAATTCAAAGGTTACCTTGAATTAATATCACATATCCAATCACCTGTGATACTGGTTTTCCTATAATTTATTACTTTTCTGGATTTATCTTTTTCTCATAATATACTTATAGTTTTCTATGTTTGTTACTTTCTAATGGTTTTTCTTTTTATTGTTAGATACTACAGTGTAGTCACTCTTGTTTCAATACTTCAGGTGAGTAGAATGTACATACAGTATGATGAACAGATGATAAAATATCAAGTTTATATATTTGCATGATTATGCATGATCAAATTGTGCTTTGTAAAGGTGGGTTATCTGTCAAAGAACATACAGTAATTGTTAAGGAATAGAACTCACACCCTAATAGAGCAATTGTTTCTCCGATAATCCCTTCCTGCTTCATCTTATAATAATCTGATGAGAAATAAGAGGATATGCATTTATAATCTATTACAGACCTATCAAACTGGTGGCCTGCGGGCCGGATACATCAAGCGCAGGCCACGCCCACCCTGGCTTCACAATAGCAAAAAACGTCACAATACAGCCTGTGACACAATCAAGTTTGACACCCATGATACATTATTACAGGAAAGAGTGTTGATCTCTGTCTTCTTCAACTCCTGCATCTTTTCCAATTAGGCTTTCGGGAAACCTCAAAACAGAAAAATTGACATTATCTAGTTCAGTGGTGGGTTTCAATTTATTTTACTACCAGTTTGCTTTTGTGCGCACATGTGTGCAACACCTCTACGCATGCACAGAAGCGTTTGGGCATGTGGGCGGAGCCTCCCACCGCCACCACTACCGGTTTGCCCGATCCCACCTCTGATCTAATTCCATTTTAACAAAAAGAGGAACCCTAGTTGTCATACAAGATATTTTGTGG